GAAACTCTGTCTCAAAAAAAAAAAAAAAAAAAAAAAAGAAGAGGCCTCAGGTGGGTGTTGGATAAATTTCTTCACTCAGCTCTCGGGAGAGAGTTTTAAAGAGTTTAAAAACTTCTTTTCAACTAGGATATTGATTCTCAAGTGTGATCTAAGGTCCTTTCCATGGGTTCAGAAGGTCAAAACTATGTTCACAATAATGACATTATTTGCTTTTCACTCTCATTCTCTCAAGAGTGCACAGTGGAGTTCTTCAGAGGCTATGCGTTCTATGATAACCCAACCAATTGAATGCAGAAGCTAGATATGAGAACCTAGGTGCTTTCTGTTAAGCCAGACATAAAAGAGGTTTGCAAAAATATCAAACAATGCCACTTTTTTCATAATTTTTTTTGTTTTGGCAAACAGTTATTTTCACAAAAATATATTATTCATATGTTAATAATGGGTTTATGATTTTTTAAATGAAGTAATAATAGATATATCCAATTCCTAATACAGTAAATATTGATAGATATAAACAAAAACTCTTTGGAGTCCTCAAATCTTAAGGTATAAAAGGGTCCTGAGACCAAAAGGTTTGAGAACCACTAAATTGAGGTTTGGGTTTTTTGTTGTTTGTTTTTTGTTTTATTTTATAATAGTGTTTTATTCTATATAATAGGATGTGAAAGCCCTGAAAAGTTATGGAACATCAAATTAAATATGCTAAGAGCTAAGTAATGAATCTTATCACAGTGGTAAATGAAATCTTCTACAGAATGATTAATCAACATTTAGCAAATGAATCTACTCATAAACAGTCCTTTAACATAGCAAACAATCTATCCTAATATAGCTGTTTTTAAGATGTGGTGTTTCTGAATAGTAGAATTTCTTTAAGAATCTGTGCATCACATGATGATCTTAAACATGTGAAACCATTTATGTTGTATGCAAAAATTCAGAACACGTTTTCTTCAGAATCTGAAATGAACATAAAAATAATAACATACATGTATTGGATACTTCACTGTCCATCAGTTTCCAAGCTAAGCATTTGATACATGCCATCTCATTTAATCCTCACAAGAATCCTACAAAGTCAGTACTGTATTGTTATTATCCTTTTTTAGTAGATGATAAAATGGAGGATTGGAGAAGTTAGGTAATTTGCTGGTGGTTAGTCAGTGAGTAGCAGATCAAGGTCATGAACGTGGGTCTCTCTGAACAGACCACATGCTGTTAAGCACTACGTTATGTTGCTATCAAACAAAGCAAAGGTCAATGAGGCTTTAATATTATAGGAGCTGTTATGAGAATAATCTGGGACTGTAATGTCCCCCCAAATAGAGAAGGAGCCCATAAACCAAAGTGACTCAAACAAGTCCAGGTTGGCAAGTAGATGCATTTATTAGGACTTACATACAAGGCACTCCTGGGCAGCAGCTAGACAACTGTGGAGACCTATCCTGCCTCCTGTCTATAAGCTGCTTTTAAGCTAATTTTCTGGCTCTTTGCTTACTGTGTATGTGTGACAGGACTGTTTTCCTTGGTATGTTCCCAGATAATCTCTGGGATTTTGGGTTCTCAGGGATATCAGCTCTTTGGCTGGGTACCCTTGGCTTACCCCCCAGCCCTCAGGGTTCAAGCAGTGGACACACACCTTCATGTAACCTGGTGAAGGACCCATCACACTACAGCAGATTTATAAAAAATAAAGTATTATACTCTAACAATATTTGATATTTTACCTTTAGCTTCGGTTATTCTTGTCAAAAATTAGAACATAAAAGGATATGCTGAAGTTAAGGTTTCCAGTTATTTGTTTTATAGTTATTAATCTTGATTGCCAGAATGTCTTCACTTGCATCTTGCTCTCTCCCTGTCTGTTTGGGCTCATCCAGGCTCCCTGATGGTACCTTCTCAGTTTCTTCCCCTGCCCCAGCTTCCTTTCCTTGTCATTCCATTTAGATGTCCTCATCACTTCATCCTCAGCTTCCTTCTCATCTCATCTACAATTTGATGCTGCTGAACAATTTCATCCACTTCCTAGGCATCAGTTCTCAACCACCTACTGATGATGACTCCCAAACCTTTATCCCTACCAAGCTTACCTACCCTGTGTCTTTCTGAATCTAATGCTCTTAATCCCGAGTGTTCACTATACTCATCTCTAAATGATTGTCCTAGAGGTATCTCAAACTCACCTTGTTAAAAAGTTCTTCCTTCCTCTTTCTAAAATATGCTCTTCCTTTCTCTCCCCATTGCAGTTAATGGCATCATTTCCAAGCTAGAAACTATGGTTTTAATTAACTTATTGCTGTTCCTCAGTTCCCACATGCATTGGTCAAGAGACCTATCAGTTCTGCCTCCAAACTATCTCTATGTTAGTATATATTCTTCTCCATCTTCACTGAAAACTACCCTAGTGACTCTGGAATCATGCAGTGAATCGAGATTAGATCTTAACATGTTTCTGGGTCTCTTTGTCTCTCTTTTCTCCAGATTGACCCCCATTTTACAGCTACAATTATCTAAAACACAAGTCTGACCATGTCACTCTCCTTCAAAACCTTCCCTTGCCCGTAGAATTAATTATTGGCCTTTTCTTAACGTGATAAAAGTCAAGAGTACAATTTTCAAGCCAGATACAATATGAGTGCAATATTTTGATAGTGTACTCCTTTAATCTTTCTTTTTTCAGGAAGCGAAATGTGGTGATTTTAAAGCTGTTATAGTGGAAGTATCAGGACAAGCCCATTACACAGGTACAGCAAGCCTTACAGTAGAAGATGACGACCCACTGAAGGATGGATTTCTTCTCAAGTGACTTCTTCCATGATTGTAAGGGCTTTCTTCTTAAAGTAATCATTATCCATAAGTAATTTTTTCTCTAAATTATGTGGAAACCAATATTCAAATTATACATATAAGCTAACTTCCATTTTTCTAAAATACTACACTGTGGCTAAATATAAAGTCATTATACCTCATATTTGCAACTGTATTTTGTTATAAATATCACTTATGTCTAGCATACAAAATGACAGAAATTTAGAGTCTTTTTCTAGTGATTAACATATCAGGTAAAATTAAAACAGTTGTTACTTTTAAAATACTGCTTTATAGTAATTACTACTAATATCATATTTGTTTTAAAGGCTCTTTGAATAATATGTGAAATTCAGCAATGAACTTTCCACGCTTATTATTTTTCTCTTCCATTTTTTGAGTAAAATCCCTCTCTGTAAGCAGCATATAAATGAGATGGATTATTATAAAGTACTCAATACTTTGCATAATAGCCTGGGAAAGGTCGAGTTGGAGTCAGCTTCTTTGTTATAGCTGCTGCTAGGGTGTTCTCTGTGGCGCAAAGCTCAGCTTCTACACCCACAGGTACTGAAGTATCAGAAATTGATGCTAAGAAGACCAATTAGTAATCAGACTTTTGCTATATCTTCAGGCTTTTATAAAAGGGGTTCCTTATTGCATTATTAAAATACAGGAATACAGTAGAAATTAATCAGTGACTCTGTACAATGGAATGAGTCTCATACTCTAGCAACTGCATGCCAGGTAGATTTAAAACATGAAATAAATGTTTACTACTGGCATTCCTGCTAGTTAATACTTATCTATGAGCCTGTTAAAAATAGGTGAAGCATTAAAATATTCCAAGATGTGACACTCTCAGAGAATTCAGTAGACTTTTGTGAGATAGGTAATAGTATTTTATTTTGGAGCCTCCAGAAACTGAAGTAATTTATTCATTTAATTGGCCTTATCACCCAGAGAGTCTGTATTGGCCTTATAATTAGTCTGTGATTTAATTACCTAACCAAAACGAAAGCTGTAATGTTAATGTTTTTTATTTCTCTATTACAGAAAAACAGGATTTTTTTTCTCTCATTCTCCACAGAATTCTGTAGTAAATAAATTACTTGCCTCAAAAAAAAGTCATTATCACTAACTCAATATGACCAAATAATTTTTGCAGATCACATCATTATACTTAAAAAAATAAAAATAAAAACGGAACCACTATTTTCCGTCCAAAGCTTACAAGTCACATGAATTTGAAAGAAAATTGTTTAAAAATTACATTTTGTAGCATTTTATAATCTGTCAGGTACATAATGAAGTACACTAGGAAATGCGTATTGTGATTCCACTGCCACCAAGGTAGAGGTTATTTTTACTCCCTGACCTTGTTTAGAATTGTCAGCACTTAGTGATAATTTTTAAAAAGACTTGTAGTTGGTTTTATTATTGTTCTAAAATTCTCTACAGATAGCACACCCCTTTTTCAACTGCACCATGGAAAACTACTCTTCCTGCCCTACCTGTGGTATGCCACTGTTTTTATCCCATTTATACACTTAAGGGAGATGCAAGTTGAGCATGTTAACTAACTCTCCTAAGGTCATTTAGAGGCTGCAATCTAGGAGTTCTGACTCCCAGTCTAGGATTTTCCTACAACACTTCCTCCATTTCTAAGATAGGATGGCCATAACTTGGTCTAGGATATAGTACTTTAACAAGAAAGTTATATTTCTTGAATACTAAAAAATAGATATTACCTAAGTCTCCTAAATTTCAATCCAAACCAGAGCTGAACCTTTGCAGTAGTGTTCATTCCTGCTGCACTTCACCCTGGTTCCCATGGAGTCAAAAACACTAGGGAAATCAACTCCTTCACCTCTGACCTCCACATGTCTAGTCAGTTGCAAAGCCCTATTGATTCTGCTGTCTAGGTACTGCTCACATCTATCCCTTCCCATCTCAGTGAGGATCTTGCCTTAGCAATTAACCTCTTTCAGGTGTCTCCAATCTCCTGCTGCCCCCTCACTGGTTCCTTCCCCTAAGTATTTAAATGTGCTAATTGTAAACAAAATAAACATCCCTGTCCCTCCTTCCCGCTGTAGATAGCTGTCACTGCTAACTCTTTCCCTTGGTATTTAAACTTCTAAATTCCTTACTGTCTGCTCATTGGGTACATTTTCTCATCCATTTGCTATCAAACTATTACAATCTTGCTTCTACCTCATTACTCGTTAGAAACCTTACCTAATTGCCAGGTCTAATGATTTATGTAATCCATGGTGGCCCCTGCTGCTTGCTCCCTGAAGGCAGGTGTGGTCCATTTTAGAACAGGCAACTCTGATCCCTTGATGCTGAGCTCAGCCACAGAACCAGTTAGGCTAAGGAAGTTAGTACTCAGTCCGCATTAGTGCCCACCAAAGTGCTGCAATTGTATGGGCCCAGGCCCATCTCCTCTTCATCATGAACTCACAATGCGCTTTGCTCCAAGTCCTCCAGACACAATGAGAATTAGGTCACCCTTCTTTTCAACCCTGAAAGCCACAAATTCCATACTATCCCTCTTTAGGACACTGTTCTTCATACTTCAATGTGCATGTGAATCACCTGGAAATCTTAAAATGCAGATTCTCATTCGTCAGACATGGGGTGGGCATTTCTAACAAGCTCTCAGGTGATGCTAATCCTGCTGGTTGTAGTACTGTGAGTGGCAAAACTTCTGGACATGCCTACTTTAATTACCTGTTTGGGCCCAGGCTTTACAGGTGAGTCTCCTCAACCTGTGAACTTCTTCTCTAAGCTCTGTAACACATGAAAGCCTGTTTCAGCTCTCCATCAGTATGTAAAGGATAGCAATGACCACAAGATCACAAATACATTCTCTATAGAGGCTGGGAAAACTGCCACACCTTTTCTGAAAACCAAAAACATAAAACAGCTGATTTCTCAATAGGCCAATGTGCCTCATTAACTGTATCATTTACCTGCCTAGGTTTGCTTTGTTTATCTGCTTCTTAACTTTTACTACTCCCTAGCATTACTTCCATGGTCCTTTTCTTTCTTCCCTGACTACTCTGTCCTTAAATTGTCACATTGATTCCCATGGTTTTCCCTCTTATAGAGAGGCTAACCACATCCACATCCCCAAATTCCAAGGTCTAAGGCTATACTGTAGATTCATTACTTAGAGGACAAACCAAGCTCATTTTCCCCCTAGATTGTGACCCTCTTCCCATATTCCTTAACTTGACTAATGGTACCACCGTCCACCAAGCTAGGGACTTGGGATTGACCCTTGGCTTCTATTCACAATCTTTGTCCTCTCCGTTGATGCTCCCAAGGTGGATAACGGTGGATTTCTCCAGCTATTATGCCTTTCCCCTTTTTTTATCAACAACACTCTCCTTTTTCTTTGGGAAACTATCTGCATATAGTCTTACTAGGACTGCCAGGAGACCAGTACATGAGTCAGACTTTCTCCCCCACACTGAGATCTTGAGAAACAACATAAGGTCTGAAAACTGAAGCTGATCTATTCCAATGGTGGCCTAAAGAGATCACTCCATCAGTTTCTGCTCTCTCTACCCACAGGACTTCTCTGACTTCTCTTTTTGGAGCTGTTAGGCTGTCATTTTGTAAATGGAACTTACCCTGTCCTTCCAGTAAATTCGTATATTGGTTATGTGAACAAGTGTCCTCTCTGTGTTACTTATGCCCAAAGAATCCTAATCTATATATTAATCCTAATCTATATACTACCTACCATAATCTATACTCGACCTCTCCTTCTTCACTGCAAAGGTCCACTTCAGACTCTCATTTTTCACCTGGGCCATTACAATGCCTCTCCTTAACTGGTCTCCCAACTTCCAGATTCTCCTCTTAGAAAAAAAATATTTTTTTGTATGTGGGCATTTGTATAGAAGTTTGCTAGAGTGCTAAGTGCCAAGGAACTCATAAACAGGCAAGATTTAGGTCCTCATATAGTATACAGTGGGAGGCAGATAATAGATAATCACACACAAAAAAATTATAGACCAAGGTAATGTGCTACAATGGAAAATACAGAGTGCTGTGAAACTAACAAGGGAACATGGTCCAATATGTGAGAAGAGGGTATCAATTAAGGAAGGCTTCCCCCTATGGACTAACGTTAATGTGAAGAGGAGGATGCTAAGGAGGGGAGGAGGAAGGTGGAGCTTTCCAGGCAGAGGGGATAGTAAGTGCAAATGCCCTAAGATGAAAGGTTTAAGGAAGTCATAAAAGCCTAGAGGGGTGGGAACACAGCAAAAAAGATGGAAAGTGGTCTCAAATGAGACTAGAAATGAAGCAGGGGTCAAATCATGCAGTGCCTTTTAGGAAATATTAAGGATTGGGGTCCTTATTCTAAAATAAATGGTGAAAGCCAATAGGATTTTTAAAAAGAGGTATGGTCTCACTATGTTGCCCAGGCTGGCCTCTAACTGCTGGGCTCAAACGATCCTCCCTCCTCAGCCTCCTAAGTACCTGGGACTATAGGCACATACCACTACAACAGCCTAACTAGAGGAGTTGAATTAAGTAAGTGGCATGAATAAATTTATGTGTATGGTTTTAAGAGCATTATGCCTATCTGCCTCCAGTGTAGGGACTGGATATGGGAAGACCAGTTAGGACAACAGTGACAACAGTAGTCCAATGAGAGAATGAGAGCCAAGATTCAGGATGGGGGAGTGAATGGATGCAAAGATAGTCTGCAACTAAAATCTGTAGGATGTGGTTGATGAACTGGATGTGGACTGCTGGCAAGGAAGAGGGATTTACAAAAACTCTTCAGTTTTTGGCTTATAAGCTAGAGGAATGGCTCTACCAATATTCTGAGATACTGAGTATTGAGGACATAGTTTTTCACAGAAAGTAGGAGGAGGATCATGAATCCATTTGATGCACGACCAGCACATCAAGGAGAAATGCCAAGTATCAGGACATGTAGGTTGGTGCCACAGACAATTTGAGTAATGAATATATGGATAATCTTTGAAGTCCTGGATGTGAGTGAGATGAGGCTGAGGGGGGAGTCCAGAGGAGCTAAGAACAGGGCTTTGATGAACTCCAGCATGTAAAGGCAGGTGGAAGAGGATGAACTGGCAGAAAAGAGGACACTCAGAAAGATGAGGAAGGAAGGAACCAGGCAAGTGCAGTCCTTTTGGTCCTGCTGTACCATGCACTTGCTCATGACCCTCCCTTGTGCTATTAGCCCCTCCTCCTCTAATGATTTTCAGTCTCCAGAGCATGCCTACAAGGCCAATCATAAGGTGGTCCCAATAAACTTTGGTCATTTATTTCCATTTTCACTCCCCATCCCCAATATCCTGGAATTCAGACACTGCTCACTTCAACACGGTTCTTCCCCTTTCTTCTTTTTTAGGAAAGTCTAATGTCACCTCTTGTACAAAGCCTTCATTAGAAAGAGTTAGTCACCTCCAAATGATTTCATTCACATTTTTAAGACAATA